GAGAAGAGTATTGAATATATACCATGGACTGCTAGGAGAACAAACAGGTTCATCCTAGAGAGGGTGAGACCAGGCTGATCCTTTGAGGCAAGGATTCTGATGCTTTCTCTGACATACTCTGGACATGTTGCAAGGAGGGACCAGTCCTTGGAGAGGGACATCATGTTTGGGACGGTGGACTACCCCTTCTGGTAGTCCTAGGCAAATTTTGAATGTAGATACTTCTTGACATGGCCACCTTACCTCTTTGTCTGTGTGAAAAGAGCAAGGGCAGACAGCATGGGGACAGCTGAATCTGTGCTTTAACTCAGCAACAGGGAACTGCCTCCATCAACACCATCCACAACCAAAACCACCAAGTATAAAAAAAGCAAGAAGCTAATGGAAACTGTGATTTCTGACCCCTGCTAACTCTGCGAGGAGGAACTGGCCCCTCAATGACACACACTGCACCCATTCAACTCCCCTGTGATCAAATATGTCCTCGACAATAACCCACATATTTCCAGTAACTCTAATACCAATTCTACTGCTCTCCTGGGTCTGAAATCCATAGTAATATTTACATAAAGTTCACAGAGCTGTACTGATGGTTATGGGATTTATTAGGGAAGTTAACAGACTCTGTGTGTGTGTGTGTGTGTGTGTGTGTGTTATATGTCAGGAAGACAAAGATTTTCACCACTGGACCAATTGGCAGCATCAGGATGGATGGTGAAGAGGTTGAGATTGTTCACAGCTTTAGTTTGCTTGGCTCCACAATCAACACTCTTGGCAACAGCAGCCAGGAAATGAAAAGATGTATTGCCATGGAAAATTCTGCTGTTAGGGACCTCTCTAAAGTACTGAAGAGCAATGGTGTGTCTCTGGAGACTAAGGTGTGTCTGGTACAGGCCATGATCTTTGCAATCACTTGTTATGCGTCAGAGAGTTGGACAATGACTAGGGAGGATAGAAGGAGAATTGATGCTTTTGAGCTTTGGTGTTTGAGAATGTTGAGGGTACCATGGACTGCTAAGAAAACAGATTCACCCTGGAGAGGGTTAAATCAGG